GCGCCTGCTGTCTCTCCATTGAACTCTGGTTGGTTTGGCTAGAAAATTTGGTTTGCTTGGGATGGTGTGAATGCATAATCGAACTGTGATGGGTACCAAAAAAGCTAACTCTAGTACACCTAAAAACCTCGGCATCGGTTCGGTTGAAGTGAACTCTGGTGTGGTTTGAATACATATGTGAACGCCAAGTGGTTTCCATCAGTGGTTCTTGGTGCAGTGCCACCACAGGTGAGGAGGTATCAGATGAAAATGTAACATGTTGTCATTTTGGTCCCCAATTGAACAGACTCTACCAGACTAACACGTCTGGAAACAACCTAATTTGATCACACATGGCAGTCTAATGACATTTCTTCCACTCTTAGTTGTTTTTGGTTCATTGTTGATTCCTTTACCCTTGTGCATGCGAGGACTGAGGCAAACGTAGAGGACTATGGAAAATGATACAAGTTTTACGTGTGTGGGGTCAGTTGGACCCCATTTCGACATACAAGGGTTAAAGGTTTGATTTCCTGAAAATATTGTAATGACCAAACCACAACTGAAAATGTAGATACTCACGTTGATGAGCCAATGATTATTGATTATTACTGATTATTCCTTTACAAAAAAATATTGAATATTTTGTTCCATTTACTTGAGTAACCTCTTGGAAAAAATACTTTTAGTTTTACAACACTGTATTTTTGCTTTTACTTGAGTAATATATTTATAAAGTATCACTACTCTTAATTGAGTAAAATGTCTGGATGCTAACTTCACCCCTAAGAGTGATTTTACTGAATAAAGAAAAAAAGAAAAAAGAAATGACTTCTCATTGTGCATAAACTTAGTTTTTCTAATGTTATTTAAATTTCTACTTACTGAGCTTGATGTGCCATTTAGCACTGCAGTTCTTACATACAGTTGATTTGCATTATCAACTCTAAATATTAGTTTCAGTTTTTTTATCATTCGGAAAAGTGCTGCCTGAATGTGTTATTTTTTTAATCAGAATTTTATTTATATTTTTTGTCTTTAAAATAGAATTTAGATATAATTTTACATTTTTGTCTGCTGATGACATTATTTTTAAATATTAAATCATATGTTCTGGCCAGTTACTCAGTAGTTGAATAGACATACTTATTCTTGGACAGTTACTTTTTACTTTTACTTGAGTAAAAATATGTTGAAGTAGTCTTAGTTTGATAGCAACTATTTAAATTTACTTAGTTACATTTACTTGAGTAACTTTTTTAAAAATGTACTTTTAGGCATACTCATACTATAATGTGCTTTTTACTTTACTTGAGTAAATTTATTGTGAAGTATCACTACTCTTACTTCAGGCTAATTTCTGGATACTTTACCCACTGTGAGAACTTCACTGAATGAAGAACAGGATTGTTTTAACCAAAAATTTACCAGACACAGGCACACAACTGGTTTTGAGCCATTTATGATAAATTAAAAAGTAGTTTTTAAGAAGCAAGAACAAAATAGAAAAACTACAAACGGAAAAAGCATAAACACAGAGTCTCTGCTTGTTCATCAGATTTTCCAACAAACAGCTGGCTGTGTGGCTCTGGTGTTCAGTCCCAGACTTGATGGCTCTACTGATCCATGGCCTCCGGAGCAGCGAGTGAGTTGACAAAGGCTTCATAGTGCTGCGGGTGGCAGCGCTTGTACTCGTTGATTTTTCTCTTGATCTGTTTGGGTGTGTCCTGGTAGTAGTTCTTCTCATCTCGAGCCATCGCCTGCAAGAGCCACACAAAGAGGGATGATGAAGAAGGAAGTTTTCACACTTAGAAACAATCTGGACAAATGCAAAAGGAAGCTTGAAATGACAACTTGATTGAATAGAGGTTAAAAGAAAACCAGATCAACCCGATTCTATATTCTAGTTCAATACCAAACCAAGACTGGATAAATAAATCTCTTTAAATAGAACCTGACAGACAACATAGAGCAGGGTGAAGATAGTTGTAAGGTCTGTACAAAAGTGAAAGCATCATGTAGTAGTAGGGGCCAATCGTCTATTTTAAAACATTTAAATGTGACACAAAAGAAAATCATTAAGGGGGTCGAATGGTTTTCACAGCGCAGTGCAACAGCTTCCTCTGCATTACGAGTTCTTAATTCAAACTCCGATGTTTAGATTTAGACTTACACAAAAACATGACAGTCAATTTGTCAATGAGATGTTGTTGGTTGGCTACTGAAAAACAGAAAAAATACTGAAAAAATGTACGTGTTACTTATAGTAACACATACAGTAAAGCAGTAGATTTTATAATTTTTCTCTAAAAATGAGAAAAAAAATCTATAATACACAAATTATAGACTTGTGTATTATAAATCTATAATAGTCAGCCCTGGAGCCTCAGAGAAATACCAGGGCCTCAGAGAGGAACTGAAGAAGGCCTGGAAGG